AAACCAAGGATTCCAATTAATTACATTGATTCAGGAATAAATAATTACCCGGTACAAGGTTGGCACGAAACAAGAAGTTCTATGCCACCATGGTGACCTAAATATTGCCAGAACAAAGGGATCGAAACTAAGGAATACGCGGTACTATAACTCAGTGAAAGAAGGGCATTGCAAATCGAAATAGGGTTTTTCAGCGCAGAGTAATAGCCGATACCAGCGTGTGGTCTTGTGGTCACGAGTTTATATTTGTACAATATGGAGATATATACTGTCATTCCCTTTAGAACGCATTTTACCACGTTAAGTATCATCGAGGCCAGTTTCGTCAGAACATCAGCTGTGCCAAATTTCAAACTGCGACGATGGTTCCGTTGTGGCAACTAAACGAGATAATCAGGTCAGAGCGGTTCCGCCCACTGCGACTTCATTCTTTACACTGAAAATATGCGTTGCATGTCCACTTAAGACACTAGACAAACTTTGCCTAGCCCCATGGCTAAGTTTCTGCACAGGCTGTCTGGGGTAGGTTAGGAAAGAATGTTGGAGGAGTACAGCGTAAAATCAGCCGTCAGACCGCAGCTACTTCTATCCCCTTTGTCACGCTTCAGTAGTTGGGTATTAACAAGGCGTCAATTAATCACGATTTTGAAGGAGTCGCTGCCTAGTCATCGTCATCTGAGACTAACAAGCTTAAGCAGCAGTGTTACTAAGGTTTATGATGTCTGACCGGTAAAAATGATATTTCAGACTGATATTAAGCAACCAGTGCTTCAGGAAAAGCCACATTCATATTTTTTTTCTAAAGAGAATCGAAGTCAATTTATGGTCAATGACAAAAAACAAGCTGTTCACAAAAAGTTACCAGTTCTCTCATCCAAATATCAAATCCATCAAGCAGTCGCCATATCAATGTCTTTACGTAACATTTTCAGCTCCGAACTCATCAAAGGAATACTAATGTAAGGCTCCTTGTCAGGTCTATTATGGCTGATCGCCCTAATCTAAACTGACATTCTTCTAATATTAAAAACGTCAAAGGTCTAACATTTCCCATGAAATTCATGCGACGGACGAAATCGTGCTGGAACCATTCAAGAAAAGGCAGCCACAAGACCCAAAAAACAAAGAACGACATCATGGAAACTCAATTTTGATCACAGTTTATAATGGTCCACAGAGAGCATCACTGTTATATAACAAGAGATAAAATAGATTGTAAAGATTTAAATTTGCGATTACAGGACCTCGTCCAGTCACCACATTGGAATCATGAAATAAAACGGAAACACTAAAATTTACAACTTAGAAAAGTTCACGAAAATCGACATCGACTAAAGGTCTGGGCCAAAAGATCAGAAACTGCTGTGAATGGCGCTTATCAAGTAATATACGGCAACGACAACTCAACGGCTGCGAATTTTACATTTACATGATATTTAAAACCACAGCTTTCGTAGTGACACTTCCGAAATAAACAATGTAGAGCATCAATATAAGTACACTACAGGCCTTACACTTTTTTGTATGTCGAAAGTTGTTCAAGTCAAATAATGGTTGTAAAGGAGTGGCTGCATAGCCTCGTATAATTAACCTGAACAATTCTTGCACTTCGTTCAATCAGGAGCGCTGAATTAAGTTTAATTTAGGAATGTTTTTAACACGTTTAATAACGGAAGAAAGAAATCCCTAACACAATAGCGGTTGGCATAGAACATCAGAAAAAGATCAGGTCGGGTAAACGCAGTCCCCTGAGATTCGCAGTTCATCGCGGCGTCACCCTTTGATGGCTGGTTATGTCGAAGCACAGTGCCAAATGAATTGTCATTTAATAAGAAACATTGTACCGCGCATGGGATTTGAACCTCACCTATCAAACGCGCAAAGAAAACTATTCGCAGCCACTGCATTACCGCCCCTCGTTTTAATGCCTGTTGGACAATTCGATTCCAGATTCAAAAATGTGGCAAATTTCAGCACCTTCTTTAAGACGGCCAGTTCGCAACGCAGTCGTTGCAGCGTACAGTTCATTTTCAATAGCTGCAGTTTCAGAACGTCGCTGAGTGGCAAATTGGATGCTACCCAGTAGCTAAAGACCATCGGGTTGGTCGGAAAGTTGACCGCCATGCTGCTGCGGTACCACTGCTTCAGCTCCTGGGCGATCTCCTTCACGATGTCGTCCTAAACGCACGTACATTCAGAGCTAGTTGCGTACACAGTGAGCGCGACTTTACTTACAACATCATAATGCTTGCAAATGAACATGGGCCATGACGTCAAAAAGCACGCAAAGTACTTGTGATGACGCTGAAAATACGTATAGTCATAGTGCCAAAAAGAAATAAAAAATTCCATCATCGGCAGCATGTCATACCATGAGTGAAACAACAGACGAAGATGGTGGCGACCGCTTTGACTCCGCTATTTCGTTCTTCACTCTGAATCGAGCCATCGAAGGAAGCCTTGCCGCGGACACCAAATCTGTAAGAGTTTCCTCGGGTAGGATGCGAACGTCCGCGCACAGCAAGCTTAACAGAAATACCATTAATCCTACGAAAATAATGACCACAAAAATTAAAATAAACCAACACATTTCGAATCGATGATCGAATAGTTATATGGTTGTAAATTAAATTAAAAAAATATTGTTTTACACACAACTAGCACAAAACAGTAAGGATAACTGTTCAAAAAATAATGCTTCAGCATAATCTTAATATGCAAAATATTCTTTGTGTAAATATCTGAAGAACGAGTGTGAGTTTGTTCAGCTAATTTCTATGCTAATTTGCTAATGCCATTATTAACGCAACTTAATTTAGATGATATGAGAAGGTTCGGTGTTTTCCATTAGCCGCTCAAAACTGAGGTTTACATGCGACTTACTTTTATCATGGAGGCCAATAAGTTTTCAACTCAGAAGAGCGTTAGGTGAGTAGGTACTGGCTTGAATCAGGTGTTTGGCAAGGGACAATTTCCTTCCTTATGATCGCTTGATTCTGTCCGTGGAGCATAAATGCATTCTACTCACCTTGAATATGGCAGATATTTTCTTTATGATATCGTTTGCAATGTTCCAAATGAGTGAGTCATGCTCAAACAATTTGAGAAGAGGAAAAAAATTTATTCATACCACCGACGTTTCAGACTGCGATAAGCCCATCTTCAGAATAACATTATTTCGCTGCTGTTCTGAAAGTGAACGTAGTACGACCAAAAATGGAAGCTGCATAAAAAGAATTTCTGCATGTAAAATATTTCTATATAGTTCACTCGTTCCTGACATCCCAAACGATTATTATTTTTCTTTTTCTTATTCCATTGCAACAAAACCGACGTCAGATGTCGCACAAGCATTCCGAATGGGTCGAAAAAACAAGTGCAGGATTTTCAGTCTTCTCGATCTCATGAAAGCCGTAATGAAATCCTCCTATCCCGCCATTAGGCTCTGCGTTCAACATTCGCTTCGCAAAGCGGCTATCGTCCATTTGGTGGCAATAGCCTCATTATCCTACGCATCTCGCTTGCAGTCAGTGCCAGCCGCTCAGTCGCATTCAGCTATCTGTTTTCAGATTTTCTAAGTGTTGCCATCTGCAGGCCATAGAGTAAGATGTTCAAAATGTCAATCCGGTATATTCGCAGCTTTGTACTATTGTCAACACCTATTTTATTCTTACAATAAAATTCAAAACACTATAAAAATAACCAACGCATAATGTACAAGCAATGTCAGATTCTGTGGTTTCGTCTGAACCGCAAAACCCTTCTGCGCATACTGAGTATGGGACATTAAACTAATAAAAACAGCTGCACCGTTCTGAAAAGATTGGTGAAAGAATTTGGATAACGCATTCTGAAAGCTTGTGGAAATTCGAGCAGCGGCATCCTTTCACATCGCAGCTACCTACTTAATCTGGAATGCCGCCTCATAATACTTACATCACTCTATATCAAAGCAATATTAAAAAGTGAACATTACACCACAGGACAGTACTGAGGTTTCTCCTGCAATCTGGCACGGCGAACATGATCACAGACCCATCATCACTCGACTATAAATGGTGTAAACTGTTGCTTAGCAGCAGCACCTATGACAGAAAGTGCTTTACAGCCAGTTGGTTAATCGCTCTCTGAGATGAAACAGGAAGTGGAAAGGAGCAGAAAGTCAAAGTGCTGTAAAAATAACCAAAAGCTTATTTTATTGACTATTTGTTTTTAACAGATGTTGCTGTTTTCTACATTCGTCTGAAATAAAAACTCGACGCCAGAATTTCCTGCATGGGCGTTGATCCATAAAGCCAGTTACCTAAAGACCTGTATGAAACAAGATTACCCATAAGCATTCTCGGTAAAGGCGATGTAAACGACGCAGCGAAAACCGAAAATCACCAAATGCGGAAGCAGCAAAGTGAAGAGCCTTTTTGAAGAACAACCCGGCCTCCTCTGAGCAAGAGCAAAAATTACAAACCGTGGCGGGTTGATAAAATCATGGATAACAGAGTAAACAGTAGCGAGTAAGTGGAGAACCACATCCTGCTTAAAGTCCCGCTTAAAGTCCCGGCATTATAACATCTCAGTTTCACAATCAGACACAAGAGGAAAACCAGCATCAAAATGAAATCGATCGAAAGAATCTGAATCAAACGTACGGGACAAGTGCAAGTCTCTGACAAAAATAATCACAAGTTACAGAGAAATTTCTGTAAAACGAAGTAGTGTTAGTACTGAAGTGCGAAATCGTGTAAACATAGGGCTCACAATTAAGTAATGCAAAACAGAATCCGTACAGCGCATGAGAAAGCTTTCTAGGGACATGATGAATAAACTAACTACCCAATCAAAATAATATGCTTGAGTAACGACAGCTGATGTCAGTATTAAATGGTCTGATTCCAAATTACAAACAGCAATTCTACAGAATGCGGAAGATAACTGAAAAGTCGAGACAACAAACAGAAATAATTGCATGCTTACTGCCTTTATGAGAAAGTTTTGTGCCTATGCCATTTATTTACAATGTTACTTCTATTACGGCTGCCCGAGAACCGGCACTAAGAATGACATTATTCAGTGACCAAAAATACAGTACTGAACAAAGAGAACAGCTCAAACCAGAAGCATCCTATCTAATTGGGACGTCTGCAATGAGGTTCAAATGCTGATAATACGCAAAGAAACTAAAGGAAGTCAAATGAATGAGTTTCAATACCGCAAAGCACGAAATGCAACTACATGGAGACGACTGGAGACTTGAGTATGGATAAAAGGACCTGAAGAAACTCGGTTCGCATAGAAAATCACAGCTAAACTTTGACCCGTGAACAAACACTGTGATTCAAACAGGCAACTAACTGACGCCTTCCTCCATATTTATAAGAAAATTACCCGTCCAACTGCCGCCGAGTGCTGATTATACGAAATCGCTGTCGACCAACAGCCCTGAGTTTCACACCTGGTACGCGTTCGTCGTTGTCGTCTCGATAGGCTAATACTTGGGCCAACGTACCGATATCGGCCAAATGCTGTGAGATACCGGATTCGTCATATCTAAAAAAATAGTTAATCCAATGATCACATATTTACGTGTTATGCCTCTCTGCATAATACGCAGCCCGCTAGTTATGCATAATTAAAATCAATTTTTTTAGCGTTGTCGATGTGAAGACGCTCGACAAATTACAGCATTCACGAACTCTCTCACGCTAGAGCAGCCTCTTTTTCCAAACAGAAACATCAGAACCGCGACGGCTTAGAAGCTTGATCAAGATACCAGGGTAAAACTTTAAGACAGACACCCGCTACAAAGCCAAACTGTCAACAGCAAAGAGACGGACCAACGGCCAGATCACTAGGGTAAGTTGGATATCTGGCATTCATGCGTTCACATGTCCCATTTATAGAGCAGAATAATCAGCGTAACTGGAAAAATTTCCTGAAGAATGTACATCACATATCAAACATTAATTTAAATGATTTTGAAAATTTAAAGACTCATACCTACGCGAGGACAAAATTCTTTATCGCCATACCACCCTCTAATAAATCTATTGCGAAGAATCAAATGCATGGCCTGAAAAACATTGAATTATCAAGTCAAGTTTATTGGTTTGTGCAATGACTGTTGCTATCAGCATAAGCGCATTCGTTATTCTAGAATTAAACAGGTCCATGAGTCCGTGAAACGTATATACACAGAAAGTTAATATTATTACGCACAAATAACTGCTCTTGCAACACTGGCTGTCTCAGAGTACTTGCCCAAAAAATAGAACGGATCGCCGGTACATATCTTCCCGAACTGGAAAGCGTTACTATCTGAACCCGACATGGCAAAAGCGAACTTCACCGAACACCCACAGGGTGTTTGTCATAGAAACAGTAGGAATGTTTTATTTGCTCCCGTGAATCAAACCTCTAATTCTTCCCTGTCTTTACCGCTATGCAAACAACCGATTTTGCTAAGACAGCAACCACGGAAGATATGACTTCAACAGAAAGAAGACTCCCTAAACGTCTGAACTCCGAAACGCAGAAAAATATGATCGACAACAGCTTAACACTTCGATTTTAATTAACTAAACGATTAGGTTTAAATTTGCCTGTATGGATCACAATACCGTACTTTTCTCGTATCGTTCTATGATTTGGAGTTGTGCTACTAGTCAATGTGCGAAACAAAGGTGTCAGTATTTCAGATTCATAAGGGAAGAACAAATGCTGCAGACATCCCTGGCTTTCATTATCAGAATAAGTTCAACAATAAAACGAACTGTTGCAAAGAATTGTCCAGGACGATAAGCCAAGCCATCCATTTACAATAAGTCCTGTTCTGCGCTCTTCTAGCAATTAAATGGTCAACAATGTATGCTAAATTCAAGACCAGTCCTGACACAACTCCGCCGTTGTCGTTGCAAGCACAGTGATGAACAAGGAGGGCTGGATACCGTGTCGAAGAATTCGTAAAACTCAGCTACCTGCAATTTATGGTATTACCCTAATCAAACGTTCTACAGGCCCGGGGGGGGGGCATGCAGGCAGTTACGGAAGTGAGGCAGGCTGTGAAAATTCAGTGATCAGAACTTGTTTCCAATTCTGGAAACCGGGGGCGTAGCAGCACAACAACTGCCGTCGAAAATCGACGAAATGACGACGAAGATACCAGTCAGAAACAGGGCCCCTATCAACCTTGAACGCAAGAGATAAACACTTCGATGGCATTATAGCAATCAAATAAGGCTCCATGAAAATGACACCGACAGTGGGAGCTCACGGTTGGAAATTGGAATATATCCTCACTCAAAGAGAAAGGGAAGGAGACAGTTAAAAAGTCTGCAGTGTACAAACATGACAGAGTTCGATTCTCGTCAACAAAGGAGCCACGCTCTGGAATCCTGAACATCTACGGGAGGAAGCAATTCCACTAAGATGTCAACATTAAAACGCGCGATCAGGCCAGTGCTAGTATTTTAGCGGAACCCAACCTGGCTGATAGAATCCCTAAATGGAAGCCTGTCACTGGAAGAGTGGCAATGATCCAACTAAGGCAACAGAACGTTAAAGCGTTGACCTTGTTACAGGACTATGCAGCCCATTTGAGGAAAGAATTCCTTCTTTGAGAAAGTAGAAATTCCTCTGTACGAAGAGCAGACTGCAGAGCTCCTCATTCTAATGGACAGTTTTAATGCGCATCTCGGAAAAGACACAGAAAAGTAGATAGCCGTGTTTGGAAGAACGGTCGTGATGACCTCAACAACAACGACATTAAGTTCCTGCGGTTTTTTGTAAATATAGCACAATCATTTGTAAACTCCTTCTTTGAGCATTGAAGCGTGCATAAGCGTATCTGACATAGGGAAGCTTGTGCCAGAAGTCAATGATCCAATTCATAATCTCATTGTCTGACTTACGACCCTATGTAATGGATGTTCGCTTTAAGAGAGGCGAAGAACTGATAACTGATTGCCACTTTGTTGTTGGTACGCTGTGAGAAATGGAGCATCATGCGAGGATGTAATGATAGAAGCCACCAGAGAATTAAATGGGAAACATTACCTTCTTCTGATAGGAGAACGAAATTTTCAAACAACATCGAACGATGGTTTGAACAGATCCAGGATATGACTGCTGACGTGCAAACCAAGTGAGCATGTTTGAGGCTGCCGCCAAATGTTGCGCATTTAAACGGGTTGGCCTGTTGTCTGGAGGTGAGAAAAGACCATCCTGGTAGACATGAGAGGTACAAATGGCAGTTATAGAGAAGGCCGCATTCACGAAATGGCTTGGAGGCAAAGAGCCTTTTACACGCATACTGTATATCGAAGCACGCACGCGCGGCTGCGAAAACAGTGGCGAAAACCAAAGCCGATTCCTGAGAGCAGTCCGGTGAGATGCTGCAGCCAAATGTCCAGAGAGGAAACAACGCATTCTGGCACACCATCCGCCCGCTCCTAGGTGAAAAGATGAACGGTCTAAGAGTCTTAAAGGAAGGACCGGACACACTCCTACTGAAGAGAAGGACATCCTTCGGCGATGGAGACAGTACTTTGAAGAACTCCTTAAACCCGCGCAACGCAGAAAGACTCGCCCGTAGAACTCGCAGCAGGGAACAGATATTACAATTTCTGTAGATGAAATGAGACAAGCTGTGAAAAGCTTGAAATTGGAAAGACTGCTGGAATTTATGAAATCCGCCCTGAAATGTTCAAAGAATTAGGCGAACAAGGCATGTGCTGGATTACACGTGTCTGTCAAACTGTGATGGCTACGGGGAAGACACCATCGGACTGGAGAACGGAAGTTACTATGCTCAAATTCAAGAAGGCATATCACAGGGAGTGACCCAATTATTGGGGCAATACGTTACAGAGCCTCCCAGGTAAAGTCCACGCAAACGTGGCAGAAAGGAGGTGCTACAGAACTGCTGAATATGCCCTGCACTAGACTGCTGAGAAATCGTGGAAGTTCGCCAATCCAGTGCACATGTGCTTTGTCGACCTAGAAACAACCTATGATGGAAACCCGTGCAACAGTGTGTGATCATGCCTGAGAGCATAGGGGAAAGATGGCCAACTGCTACAGACGATCCAATCACTGCATTCTGATAGCATATGCTGCGTCAGAGTAAACGATGTTAAGTCGAAGCCTTTCAGTATCGGCACGGCCTCCACCAAGGCTCATTCTCCTGCCCATTGGTCTCTTCAGATAAACGGAGAAGCGATGGATCAGATGGAGAAGTTCAATTATTTCTCTGTCGTATTTACGAGATGAAAAAATCGAGGAAGAGATCGACCGGCGAATTGGAGTAGTCCGTAGCGTTCTGCGTGAATTAGCCAAACCCACTGTGACTAAAGCAGAGCTCAAACTGAAAATTAAGCTCTCGATGTTCAAGTCGATCTTTATTCCCATGCCTGCATACGGTCATGAATCGTGGACCATGACTGAAAAGCTTCTAACTCATGTGAAAGTTGCTGAAGTGGGTTTCCTTAGATGAGCTGCTGGCCTTATGCGTCTCGATTTGGTCCGGAATGCAGACATCTGCGAGAGCCTTGGG